GTGGCCTGGGAGGGCAGTGGAGGATGGCCCAAGTACTTGGGACCCTGCACCTGCATGGGAGACCAGGAGGAAGCACCTGGCTCCTGGTTTTCGGATCGGTACAGCTCCGGCCGTAGTGGCCATTTGGGGAATGACCCAATGGAAGGAAGACCTTTCTCTCTGTCTCTCTCTCTCTCACTATCTGTAACTCTACCTGTCAAAAAAAAAAAAAAAAAAGACTGAGTTACCTGTGTGCCAGGTTACTGGAGTAATAGATCTCTGTCTTCAGGATTCTCAAAATCTAATGCAATTAAAGATACAGAAACAGTCTTTGATTATGATAAGAGCTAAGGTAGACATAATCACAGGTAATCAGGAAATGAGCTTAGGAGTGCTCCCACCTCTGGAAGAGTTTATGCAGATTTGTTATTTATTTTTAGATATTTAGTAGGATTCTCCAGTAAAGCCATTTGGGTGTGGAGGTTTTTTACTACAGTTTCCATTTTAAAAATAGGGAGAACTTTTGGCCTAGTGGTTAACACGCTGGTTAGGATGCCCCTGTCTTACATCAGAGTGCCTGGGTCAAGTTACTGGCTTGGGCTCTTGATTGCTCCTTGTGTGGACCCAGGGAAATGTCAGGTGATAGTTCAAGCGGTTGGGTTCTTTGTTGTTGTTTTTAGAAAGATTGATTTATTTAAAAGGCAGAGTCACAGAAGAGAGGGAGAAACAGGAATCTCAACTTCCCAAATGTAATGTCTTACTTCCCAAATGGCCACAACAGCCAGGGTTGGGCCAGGCTGAAGGCAGGAGCCAGGAAATCCATCCTGGTATTTGATATGGGTGTCAGGGACCCAAATATTTGGGCCATATTTTGTTGCCTTCCCAGGTACATTTACTGGGAACTGTATTGGAAGCAGAATAGCTAAGACTTGAACTGACACTCGATATGGGATGCTGGCATTACAAACAGCAGGTAAACCACAATGCCATGATACAGGCTCCAGGTGATTGGGTTCCTGCCATTCACATGGGAGGCCTGGATTGAGTTCCTAAGTCTCAGCCATTGTTGATCATTTGGAGTAACCATCTATCAGATGGGTGCTTTCTCTGTCTGCCTCTCAAATAAATTTTTAAAAATTATTTTAAAAATACAAATAGATATAGAGCTAATCAGATGCTGTGAGCTTTGGTGGTTTATACTTTTTAAGGAATTTGACCATTTCATCTAAATTTTTTGTTGAATGCATGGGAATAAAGTTGTTTGTAATATTTCATGATTTTTCTTTTAAAGCCTCTGTAGTGATGTCCAGGATCTGTAGTGCTGTTTAGATTTCCATTCCCAATATTGGCAATTTATGTTTTCCATTTCCCTCTTAGTCCTGTTGAAAATTTATCAATTTGCTGATCTTTTTGAAAAATTCAACTTTTGGTTTTATTTTTTCCCTGTTTTTTTTTTTTTTTTGAGACAGAGAAAGGTCTTCCTTTGCCGTTGGTTCACCCTCCAATGGCTGCCGCGGCCGATGGCAGGAGCCAGGAGCCAGGAGCCAGGTGCTTTTCCTGGTCTCCCATGGGGTGCAGGGCCCAAGCACCTGGGCCATCCTCCACTGCACTCCCTGGCCACAGCAGAGAGCTGGCCTGGAAGAGGGGCAACCGGGACAGAATCCGGCGCCCCAACCGGGACTAGAACCCGGTGTGCCGGCGCTGCTAGGCGGAGGATTAGCCTAGTGAGCCGCGGCGCCGGCCCTTTTCTCCCTGTTTTTAACTTCATTGATTTCTGGTTCTATTGAATACTCTTATTTTGTTGAATACTCTTATTTTTTTTCCTTTTTTTTTTTTTAAGGTTTATTTTATTTATTTGGAAGACAGAGTTACAGAGAGAGGTAGAGACAGAGAGAGTTCTTCCATCTGCTGGTTCACTCCCCAGATGGCTGCAACGGCCAGAGCTGTGCCTATCCGAAGCCAGGAGCCAGGAGCTTCCGCCGGGTCTCTCACATGGGTGCAGGGGCCCAAGGACTTGGACCATCTTCCACTGCTATCCCAGGCCATAGCACAGAGTTGGATTGGAAGAGGAGTAGCTGGGACTAGAACTGGTGCCCATATGGGATGCCAGCGCTCCAGGCCACAGCTTTAACCTGCTCCGCCACAGCGCTGGCCCCTAATTTTTTTTTCCTTTTAATATTTATTTTATTTATTTGAAAGGCAGAGCTACAGAGAGGGAGAAACAGAAAAAGATCTCTGTCTGGCTGCCTCAACAGCCAGGGGTGGGCCAGGCCAAAGCCAGAAACTCCATCCAGGTCTCCCACATTGGGTGGCAGGGGCCGAAGCACTTAGGCCATCTTTTGCTGCTTTCCCAGGCACATCATCAAGGGAGTTGGGTTGTATGTGGAGCAGCTGGAACTCGAACTGGTGCCCATCAGGATTCCAGCTTCACAGGCAGCAACTTAACCTACTAAGCCACAGTGTTGGCCCCTGAATACTCTGTCTCTTAACAGCAGGTTGGATTTTCTTCCTTTGTGGTATGTCATACAACATTTTACTGAATGCTGGATATTTTGAATAGGGCAGTAAAGACTAAATAACTATTCTTATACCTGGAAAATTATATTCCACAGGACTTTTAGTATACGGAATTGAGTCAGCCTAGTCATGAGTTGAGCTGAGTTTTACATTTTCTTATGGCAAAGGGTACCTTTAGTATACCATAGGCTTAAAATTTGGTTTGTGTTGACTTTGTATTTACGCTGACTTTGTTGACTTAACTTATGTTGACTTTGTACTTATGAATTGGGGAGTAGGAAGGTGTTTCTTAATTTTTATGATTAGCTCTCAGGTTTTGGATTTTCATGTGTTTCAGAGGGGGAATTTGTGGGTGTTCTTGACCCTTTCCCAGAGATAGACTACTATTGGGTTAATTGGTGCTTGTTAGGTTGGTGGTGGAGTCTGAAACAACTGTGTTGTCCGGATCCAGTTTCAAACTTGGACAGGCCCTGTGGTTTTTGGGCATCAGTGGTAGGGCTTTTTCAGTGATCTTGCCCCTCTAGGCCTGGCTGTTCCTTGCATCTTTGCAAGTCCTATTTGGAAAAGTTTTCCTAAGCCTGCCTCAGTGGTAGATTCCTGGTGGCGCTGGTATAAGATTCTAGGCTCAAGACTCCTTCCTGCCTCTTTCCATAGTGGTAGATGGACTTTGCTTTCATCCATAATGTCTTCACTTACCACTTAATACTGTGGGTGTGACTAGACTTGCCCCTTCTGTAGTGCCTTAAAGGCTTATTATATCCTTTGGGAATGGGGATATGTTTGAGGCTTTGTACTTTTCCCATAGCAGAGGCTACTCCCTTTCTCCAGCCACTGGGCACCATAGAGGAAGTGCTGTCTCCAGTCCCACTGAGAGCAAGAACCTGGTGGAGGTTCAGTGAAGACCTTGAAGATGGACTTGAATTTCCCTCATATCTGTGGCTTCCAAGGATGCTCCATGCTCACATTTTACCTTGAGCAATTTATTAACAATTTTAGATGAATTCTTTTCAGCTGCTTTAATGGCATCCTTGCTCTATCATAGGTTAGCCAGTGTTTGCCTCCTTTGAATCCTAGAAAGAGCTTGTCTTGTCTTGTACTTGAGGTTACTGGGTTGCCTTGTATCTTCTACTGTTTGATGGGTTCAATAAAGGTTTAATTTTGTGGTTTATCCAGTTTTTTGTTGTTGTTGTTGTTAGACTAGAATCAGCATTCTTCTGAGTTTTCTATTGTCTAGATAGAACCCAATCAAGATAAGAATGGATCTCTAGGCAAAACTCCAGCTGGTCATAGCAAGTTTGTTTTCTGGGGCTCTAGTTTTTAAGTCCATGACTACTTTGTTCTCAAAATCTCTTTTCGTTAGGGCAGACTAAAGGAAATGGTCCACCTGGCTAGATTCATAGTGGAGAAAGACTGATTCCCCAGCTGGACCTAGATTGCCTTTTCTTCTTTATGCTATGATTCCCACTTAAGGGTCAGGTCCTCTGGTACAATTTTTGTCATTCCCCCCCCCCCCCATCTCTTTCTCCAACCCTGCTCATTCTTCCATTCTATTTCCTGATAATGCATTACCAAATAAACCAGGTGTATTTTGAATTTTTAAATTCAGAATTGAGATGTAGTATTTCAGTAATTTATGTGCCTGATAATTTGACATATTTTGTTGATAGGTTATTTTGTCATTTTTTTTAAAAGAAAATGTTTAAAAGATGAGATAAGAGGCCAAATTTTACTTGTTCCCTTTGCCTGTCCTTTTCTTCTGTTCTCTTATTCTGCCTCTGATTCACAATAGTTTAAAGTTCTGGCACTACTGGAAAACTTTGCTGATACTACTTTTAGGCTAGGGCCAAAGTATTAGATGAAGATCTATAGGTGTTAAGAAATTTGTAAACTATGTATATAAAACAATTTATCATTTGAAATATGCAGTGATATTAAGTACAGTTGCCTTGTTGTGTAACTGTTACTATCATCCATGTCTGGAACTTTTTCATCTTCTCAAACTGAACACGGTTCCAATAGTTCTCAGTGTTCATTCATGTTGTAGCATGTGTCAGGATTTCCTTCTTTTACGTGACTGAGTACTGTTTAATTGTATGTATGTGCTGCATTTTGTTTATCCAGTCATCTGTTTGTGGACACTGGTTTTCCTTTCTTTTAAGATTTATTTATCTGAAAGGCAGAGTTATCGAGAGAGAGAGAGAGATCTGTTGATCTTCTGTTTGTTAGTTCATTCCCCAGATGTTCTCAGTGGCCAGGAGTGGAGCAGGCTGAAGCCAGGTCTCCCGTGGGTCACTGGGTTCAAGCACTGTGGCTGTCTTCCACTGCTTTCCCAGGCATATTGATAGGGAGCTGGATCATAAATGGAACATCTAGTGACTTGAACCAGTGCTCTTCTGGGACAGGTGATGGTGTAACCTGCTGTACCACAATGCTGGCCTCTCCTACCTTTTTTTTTTCCTTTTCCTTTTCCTTTTTTTTTTTTTTTTTTTAAATTTATTTGACAGGTAGAGTTACAGACATTGAGAGTTTTACTCCCCAAATGGCTGCTGCGCCAATCCGAAGCCAGGAGCCAGGTGCTTCTTCCTGGTCTCCCATGTGGGTGCAGAGGCCCAAGCACTTGAGCCATCTTCCACTGCCCTCCCGGGCCACAACAGAGAGCTGGACTGGAAGAGGAGCAACCGGGACTAGAACCCGGCGCCCATATGGGATGCCGGTGCTGCAGGCGGAGGATTAACCAAGTGAGCCACGGTGCCCCCCCCCCCCCCCACTTTGGCTATAGTGAATAATACTGCTATGAATATGAATGTATTGTTCAAATCTCTGCTTTTGTTTCTTCTGGTATATACCTAGAATGGCTGCGTTATATGGTAATTTTTATACTTTAAAAAATATTTATTAATTTATTTGAAAAGTTGGAAAAAAGAGAGATCAGATCCTATCCACTGATTCACTCCTTAAATGCCCATAAATAGCCAGGACTGGGCCAGATGGATGTCAGGAGTCAGAAACTTGTCTGATCTCCATGAGGTTAGAGACCTAAGTACTTGAGCCATCATCTCCCACGGTGCACATTAGCTGGAAGCTGGAATCAGAGTTGGAAGCAGAGTTGCGACTCTTAACTCAGGCATCCTGATAAAGAATTGGGTGTCCCGAGTGGCATCTTTACTACTTTGGCAAGTACCTACTCCTGATTGAAGGAGTTCTTTATATATTCTGGATATCAGCTCCTTTTTTTTTTAAATTTTTTTATTTAACAGGTAGAGTTATAGACATTGAGAGAGACAGAGAGAAAGGTCTTCCTTCTGTTGGTTCACTCCCCTAATGGCCGCTGCGGCCGGCGCTGCGCCGATCCGAAGCCAGGAGCCAGGTGCTTCCTCCCGGTCTCCCATGTGGGTGCAGGGACCCAAGCACTTGGGCCATCCTCTGCTGCCCTCCTGGGCCACAGCAGAGAGCTGGACTGGAAGAGGAGCAACCGAGACTAGAACCCAGGGTGCCGGCGCTGCAGGTGGAGGATTAGCCAAGTGAGCCACGGCGCCGGCCAAGCGCCTTTTTTTTTTTTTTGGACAGGCAGAGTGGCCAGTGAGAGAGAGAGACAGAGAAAGGTCTTCCTTTTCCTTTAGTTCAACCCCCCAATGGCCGCTGCGGCCAGCGCACTGCACTGATCTGAAGCCAGGAGCCAGGTGCTTCCCCTGGTCTCCCATGTGGGTGCAGGGCCCAAGGACCTGGGCCATCCTCCTCTGCACTCCCGGGCCACAGCAGGGAGCTCGGCCAAGCTCCTTTTGATATATGTGATTTGCAGATCCTTTCTTTCATTCCATGAGTTGCCTGTTTCACTGTTGATAGTGCCCTTTGATAAACAAATGTTTTTAACTTTGATGTAGTATAATTAATTTTTTTCTTTTATTCCTTATGCTTTTGGTGTCATAGCCAATAAACAGTTGCCAAGTGCAGTATCTTGAGCTTTTTCCCTTATTTTTTTCTTTAAGAGTTCTATGGTTTTAGTTCTTACATTTAGTGTTTTGACTAAGTTTGAGTTAATTTTGTATATGGTCCAAATGTCTAGCATCATTTTTTGCATTGTGATACCTAGTTTTCCTAGCATCAGAGGTCTGTAGTTTTGTTACAGATACAGATAGACCTCGTGCTGAGATGTAGAATGCTGTTTTTCACATTATTTCTATAATTAGATTTGAGATTTTTCTGTTCAATTATTGGGCTAAGGGTACTCATAGCAACTGCCCTGGAACTCTGACCCCCATTTGTAACATTGTATCTATAAAAAGTTAATTTTGGGCTCCTAGAAGCCAATTTGTGAGCAGTGCTTTTACAGATTGAGGTTGTTTTAAGGTTTTGCACAGCCAAAGGTTTCCCAGAGAAGTCACCCGTTCCAAAAGCTGTTTAGATGAAAAGCAGAAGCTAAAGAATTATGAAAAAGTGGGATTTTGGGTAACTTTTTTTAATTAGGCAAAATTTTTTCACATGGAAGGTTATTATTTTTTTAAAAATCCATTTATTTATATGAGGGGAAGAGAAATAGGGAGACATCTCTTCATCTGCTGGTTTATTCCTCAAATGCCCTCACAGCTAGGCCTGGGTTAGGCTGAAGCTGAGAGTTGAAAACTCAATCTAGGTCTCTCTGAGTGTCAGGGACTGCAGTTCTTTGTTGTTGCTTTTTCCTTCAAGAAAAAAAAAATGGCTGATGCCATGGTGCATTGGATTAAGCTGCTGCCTGCATGGCATCCCACATGGGTGCCTGCTACTTCACTTTCAATCTAGCTCCCTGCTAATGGGCCTGGGAAAGCAGCTAGAAGATGGCCCAAGTGCTTGGGCCCCTGCATCACATGGGAGACCCGGATGGAGTTTTCGGCTCCTGGGTTGGCCTGGCCCAGCCCTGGTTGTTGTTGCCATTTGGGGAGTGAATCAATAAGATCTCTCTCACTTTCTGCCTCTCCCTCTGCTGTCACTCTGCCTTTCAAATAAATAAGTAAAAATTTTAAAAATGTTTATTTATTTGTTTGAAAGGCAGAGTGACACAGAAAGAGGGAAAGATATTGAAGAGAGAGATATTCTGCTGCTGCTTCACTCCCAAAATGCCTGCAACAGCTGGGGCTGGACCAGCTGGAAGCCAGGAATTCCACCTGGGTCTCCCACGTAGTTGGAACCAAAGCACTTGAGCCATCATCTGCTGCCTTCAAGATGAATTGGCAGGAAGTTGGATTGGAAATAGAATAGCTGGGACTGGCACTGCAATATGGGATGTGGTGTCCAAGAAGGGGCTTAACCTGCTAACCAGACTGAAGTTTTTGAGCTGTCACCTGCTGTCCCCCCATGATGTGCATTAGCAGGAAGCTGGAATTGGGAGCAGAGACAGGAATTGGATCCAGGTGCTTTTTTTAAAAAAAAAGATTTATTTTATTTATTTGAAGGATAGTGCTACAGAGAGAGGTAGAGACAGAGAGAGGTCATGCATGTGTTGGTTCACTCCCCAGATGGCAACAATGGCCAGAGCTGCGTCGATCCGAAACCAGGAGCCAGGAGCTTCTTCTGGGTCTCCCACGTGGGAGCAGGAGCCCAAGGATTTGGGCCATCTTCTGCTTTCCCAGACCATAGCAGAGAGCTGGATTGGAAGTGGAGCTGCCGGGACTGGAACCGGTGCCTGTATCTGATGCTGGCACTCCAGGCAATGTCTTTACCTGCTATGCCACAGTGCTGGCCCCCAAAGAAAGCTTTAACCAAGAGCCATACTGGCTGGCGCCGCGGCTCAACAGGCTAATCCTCCGCCTGTGGCGCTGGCACACCGGCGGGTTCTATTCCCGGTTGGGGCACTGGATTCTGTCCCGGTTGCTCCTCTTCCAGTCCAGCTCTCTGCTGTGGCCCGGGAAGGCAGTGGAGGATGGCCCAAGTGCTTGGGCCCTGCACCCACATGGGGAGACCAGGAGAAGCACCTGGCTCCTGGCTTTGGATCAGCGCGGTGCGCCGGCCACAACGTGCTGACCACAGCGGCCATTGGGGGGTGAACCAACAGAAAAGGAAGACCTTTCTCTCTGTCTCTCTCTCTCGTTGTCTAACTCTGCCTGTCCAAAAAAAAAAAAAAAAAGTACCATACGGCTACCCTTGAAACTTTTTGTTTTAATTTTAAAAGATTTATTTATTTATTTGAAAGAGTGACGGGGGGTGGGGGGAGAAAGAGGGGGAGAGAGAGAGAGAATCTTCCATCTTCCCAAATGGCTGCAATGGGCTGGGGTCAGGTTGAGGTCAGGAGCCAGGAGCTTCTTCAGAGTCTCCCATGTGGGTGGCAGGGGCCCACGGACTTGAACCATTTTCTGCTGCTTTAACATGTGCGTTAGCAGAGCACTGGATTGGAACTGGAACAGTTGGAGCTTGAACCAGCACCTATATGCGGTGCTGGCGCTGTAGGCCTTGGCTTAACCTGCTGTACCACAATGCTGACATGTGAATATTTGCAAATTTTGCTCAGTTGAGTTTAATAAGTTTTTGGTTAGAACTCATGTAATATATAATTTTTCTTTTTCTTTTGTTTTTTTGACCGGCAGAGTGGACAGTGAGAGAGAGAGACAGAGAGAAAGGTATTCCTTTTGCCGTTGGTTCACCCTCCAATGGCCGCCGTGGCCTGCGCGCTGTGGCCGGCACACCGTGCTGATCCGAAGCCAGGAGCCAGGTGCTCCTCCTGCTCTCCCATGGGGTGTAGGGCCCAAGCACTTGGGCCATCCTCCACTGCACTCTCGGGCCACAGCAGAGAGCTGGCCTAGAAGAGGGGCAACCGGGACAGAATCCAGCGCCCCAGCTGGGACTAGAACCTGGTGTGCCGGTGCCGCTAGGTGGAGGATTAGCCTATTATTATATTATATATTATTATATATTAATTAATATATTAATTAATACCAATATATTCTATAATATATATTAATATATAATATATGTAATGTAATTTCTGAAAAAAAGTTTAAAAAATTTTGGGGAGATACAGAGAGCTCCCATCCTTTGATTCATTCCGCACACCTGTGATGACTGGGACTGAACTGAGGACAGGCACCAGGAACTCAATCCAGATCAGTATTGTAGGTGGGAGGAACCCAAATACTTGAACAATCAGTGCTGCTTCCCAGAGTCTACATTAGCAGGAAACTGTAGTCCTGAGCTAGAGGCAGGGATCAAATCCTGGCACTTGATATGGAACATGGGCATCTTAATTGGTGTCTTAATCACATACCTGCCTCTACATTTAATATTGTCTTACGAAGTAATGAGCTTCATTTTTCCCTGAGCATTCAAGCAGATTTTAAATTGCTTTTCTTCAGGAATGTTACCTTAGGTATCTCTGCTTTGCTTGGGAAGTTGAATTATAAGAGTTTTTTCCCTCCCCAATTTTCGTGTTTTATAATCTTAGAAATAAATTATAAAGGGACATTTAACAAAATGGAAACTAGTGGTAGAGTGTAAGTATAAATTATGTAGTTTCATTAGTTATAATCTACAATTTAACAATTTTTTACTTTGAGTTGGTAAACATTTTAAAAATTAAAAATAATGCTGATGTGGAAGATTCAGTCTTTTGTACATTACTGATTGAAAACATTTTCTAGAAGGTAGCTTGTTGATATTTCTAGAGATATTACCAAATGTTAGAAATCTGAATAAATTCATTGCTAACAAACTGTCTTAATTAGAAATGTAGACTGAAATTTTTGTAGTTACTCATTTGAGGTAATACTACTAATATGGACAGTTTAATTTTTTAGCAGGCCTTTGGTTAAATAAATTATGAAATATTTATACATTGGCATATTATATAACCATTACTAGAGCTTCCATCCAGTAAAGTATTGAATGGATGGTGAGATTGGACATAAAGTTTGTCTCTTTGTCTCGTTCCTGATATTAGGAAGAGAACAATTACATTTTTTGTCATGTACGAAGTACTTTGGGTTTTTTTTTATGAGGTTGAGGAAGTTATTTTTTGTTATGTATTTTTTTATTATGAAAAAATGTTGGATTTGATCAGATACTTTTTCTGGGTGAATTGAAATGATATCAGGTGGATTTTTTTCCCTTTACTCGATAATGTGTATTATGTCGGGTTTCCTGTATTGAATTGCCCTGACATTTATCCCACTTGATCATGAAGTGTAATCTGTTTATTCTGCTGATATTTTGTTCAGGGTAGTTTCCTCTGTGTTTATAAGGAATATTGACCCATGGTTTTCTTATACTGCTTTTTAAAAAAGATTTATTTATTTTTTTGAAAGGCAGAATTACAGAGAGGGAGAGAGGGGCATATCTTCCATCTTCTGGTTCATTCCTCAAATGACTGCAGTGACAAGGGCTGAGCCAGGCTGAAGCCAGTACCCTGGAACTCTATCTGGGTCTCCCACTTGAGTAGCAAGGACTTTGACCATCTGCTGCTGCTTTTTCAGGCATGTAGCAGGGAGTTGAATCAGAAATGGAGCAACTGTTACACAACTTGTGCCCATATGGGATGCTGCAGATAGCAACTTTAACCCACTGTGCCAGGTTGCCAGCACCTCTTGTATTGTCTTTATCTCTGGTATCATGGTTAAGGCTTAGTGAGCTGGAAGGTGTTCCTCATCAATTTTTGGGAACATTTTGAGAATTGCTGTTCTTCAGTCATTAGGTAAAATACACTAGTAAATCCATTTAATGCTAGTCTTTTTGGAAAGATTTTTATTTAAAATTATTTTTTAAGATTTATTTATTTATTTGAAAGGCAGAGAGAGAGGAATCTTCCATCTGCTGGTTCACTCCCCAAATTGCTGCAATGGCCAGGCTGGGCTAGGCCAAAGCCAGGAGCTGGGAGCTTCCTTGCGGTCTCCCACATTGGTATAGAGGCCCAAGGACTTGGGCCATTTTCCCTGCTTTCCTAGGTGCATTAGCAGGGAGCCGGATTGGAAGTGGAGCAGTGCCCATATGGGGTTTTGATGCCTCAGGCAGAGACTTAGCCTGCTATGCAACAGTGCTGGCCCCTAAAATTCTTTTTAATTATTTATAAGGCCGAGTTATAGAGAGAGAAGGAGAGACAAAGATAACTTCCATCTGCTGGTTCACTCCCCAAATGGCTGGGGCTGGGCCAGGCTGAAGCCAGGAGCCGAGAGCTTCCTTTGGGTCTCCCATGTGGGTCCCTTCCATGTGGATCCAGGAGCCTAAGCACTTGGGCTAACTTCTCCTGATGTTGCATTAGCTGGAGCTGGATTGGAAGTGGAGTGGCCTGGACTCGAACTGGCATCCATGTCAGATACTGGCACTGCAGACAATGGCTTAACCTGATGTGCCACAATAATGGCCCCAGACTTTTTTCTTAAACTTTCCCAGAACTGTCTTCATTTTCTCCACACAGAGTGGTCTAGTATTTTGTATATATAATAGTATATAATATGACAAATGTCTATTATACTTGTTAAACTTTTTGCTTCTGAAGTGCAGAGATTATAATTTTCAGCCTTTTGTTTCCAATCTAATGGCAGGTGACCAGTAAGTATTTAAACTTTAATGAGCTGAACTACTAGTACTTTTTTTTTTTAAAGATTTATTTATTTATTTGAAAGGTAGAGTTACAGAGAGACATAGGCAGAGAGAAAAAGAAAAGTCTTCCATCTGCTGGTTCACTCCCCAGATGGCCGCATAATAATAATATAATAGTTTTTAAATTATTATTGTGTTTGGTAAGATTGGAATCTCTTGGAGCTGGCACTGTTGTCTGGCAGGTTAAGCCTTTCTGCAGTACTGCCATCCCTTATGGGCACTGGCTCGAGACCCAACTGCTCCACTTCCAATCCAGCTTCCTGTTAATGCATCTGGGAAAGCAGTAGAAAATGGTCCAAGTGCTTGGGTCCCTGTACCCAAGTGGGCTACCTGAATGAAGCTCCTAGCTCTTGGGTTGGGCCTGGCCCAGACCTGGCCATTGCAGCCATTTGGAGAGTGAACCAACAAATGGGAGAGCTCTCTGTATGTGTGTGTATCTCCCCCTCTCTCTAATTTTGACTTTCAAATAAATAAATCTATAAAAAAAAAAAAGATTGGAATCTCTCAAAATGATCCGCCCACTCTTGTGAAACTTGAGCAGCAGAGAGAAGAGAGAGAGGTAGAGAGACAGATAAATACCTGTCACAACCAGGGCTAGACTTCAGTTTCCTTTGGCAGAAGAAAAATCAAACCCATGCTATCCACTGTGGGATTCAAGTGTCATCTTTTTTTTTTTTTTTTTTTTAATCTTTAATCTGTTTTATTTATTTGAAAGGCAGAGTGACACAGAGAGAAAGAAATCTTCCATCTGTCAACTCCCAGATGACTGCAACAACTGAGGCTGGGCCAGGCCAGGATCCTGGATCTAAATCTGGATCTGCCACCTACATGGGGACAGACCCAAACCCTTGGGCCATCATCTGCTAACAAGCATCTTATTTAAAAACATTAAAAAAATTTACTTTCATTTTATTTGAAAAACAAAGATCTTCTGTTTGCTTGTTTATTCCCCAAATGTCTGCAACACCCAGAGTTGGGCCAGTCTCAAGCTGGGAGCACAGAACTCAATATGGGTGACAGGTACTTGACATCATCTGCTGCCTTTCATAATGTGCATCAGCTGGATGCTGGATCTGAAAGGGAGGAGCCAAGACTCAGATTAGCACTCTCATATGGGATGCAGGCCTTCTAGTTTGCAACTTAATCATTGTGCCAAACACCCACCTCAGGCTGGCACCCTAACCAATGTCTTAAACTGCTATGCTAACTCTTCTCCCTCTTTTTGATTGTTAGTGGAATCATGCTCATGGAATTAATTAAATTCATTGAATGATGATTTTTCCCATTGCGTTGTGATTTTCAGAAGGGCAAAATCCTTCCCTATCTTGTTTATTTTCTCTGTGTTTACCTAACCTGATGCCTGAGTGTGCTTAAGTGCTTCATAAATATTTGTGAAATAAGTTGTGATGTTGGTATAGGTGGAGGCAGCATAGTGTTGTGGAAAGAGCATGTATGCTCTTCTTCCACACTTTATAACATATGATATTTCAAAGGTTGTTGGGAACATAACTCATGGTAATTCAAAATATAAGGCATAATGCCTTTAACTTAAGTTCCTGAGGTGGGCATTTGACACAGTGGTTAAATTGCCCTTTGGAATGCCTGTATCCCGTATTGGAGTGCCTGGATTTGGATCCTGACTACCTCTGATTCCAGCTCCCTGCTGGTACCTACCCTGGGAAAACATCAAGTGATGGCATGCCACCCACTTGGGAGACCTAGATTGGGTTCCCAGCTCTTGACTTTGAAGTGGCTGATCCCTGGCTATTGGGGATGTTTCCTTCCCTTCCTTCCCTCCCTCCCTCCCTCCCTCCCTCCCTCCCATCCTCCCTTCGTCCCTTCCTCCTTTCCTCCTTTCCTTCCTTTTTCTTGAAGATCCATTGAGTTGTGTATCTGTGTAACAGCATATAACAGAGCAAGAGAGATGGAGAGACAGATATGTTCCTTTTGCTGATTCACTCCCTAAGTGGCCTTTATAGCAAGATCTCTGGGCCAAGCTGAAACCAGAAACTCCATCCTGGTCTCCCACATGGGTGGCACAGGCTAACTACTTGGGCCATCTTCTCGTCTTTACCAGGCACATTATCAGGAAGCTGGATAGGAAGCAGAGTGGCTGGAACTCCAACCTGCTTAACCCTCTGTGCCACTGTGCCTTGGCTCTTTATCTTTCAAATAAACATTTATAGAATCTGTACAAATCTTTTTTTTCCTTCAAGATTTTGTTTATTTATTTGAGGCAGAGTTACAGAGAGGCAGAGGAAGAGAGAGAGAGAGGTCTTCCATCCGATGGTTCACTACCCCATGACCGCAACGATTGGAGCTACGCTGATCCGGAGCCAGGAGCCAGGAGCCAGGAGCTTTTTTCGGGTCTTCCATGTGGGTGCAGGGGCCCAAACACTTGGGCCGTCTTCTGCTGCTTTCCCAGGCCACAGCAGAGAGCCAGATTGGAAGTGGAGCAGCCGGGACCTGAAACGGTGCCCTTATGGGATGCCATTGTTGTAGGCAGCAGCTTTACATGCTATGCCACAGTGCAGACCCCGCCTTTTTCCCGCCTTTTTTTTTTTTTTTTTTTTTTTTTAAAAGAATTAGTTCCTTTGCCGGCGCTGCGGCTCACTAGGCTAATCCTCCGCCTTGCGGCGCCGGCACACCGGGTTCTAGTCCCAGTCGGGGCGCCGGATTCTGTCCCGGTTGCCCCTCTTCCAGGCCAGCTCTCTGCTGTGGCCAGGGAGTGCAGTGGAGGATGGCCCAAGTGCTTGGGCCCTGCACTTTGTGGGAGACCAGGAGAAGCACCTGGCTCCTGGTTCCTGCCATCGGATCAGCGCGGTGCGCCGGCCGCGGTGCGCCGGCCGCAGCGCGCCGGCCGCGGCGGCCATTGGAGGGTGAACTAACGGCAAAAGGAAGACCTTTCTCTCTCTCTCTCTCTCTCTCTCTCTCACTCTCACTCACTGTCCACTCTGCCTGTCAAAAAAGAGTTAGTTCCTTGAAGACCTGGGTTTTTTTGTTTGTTTGTTTTTAATCAAGAGGTATTATATCAGCTGGACACATTTGAATTTTAATAATCTTTGTTATTTTTCTCTCACAGTTTTACATGTGGCACCCATAAAAAATGAGGCTGAGAACAAGGAAAACTTCTCAGCAATCAAATCAAATCCAAACCCAACGCACTGCCAGAGCAAAGAGGAAATACTCAGAGGTTGATGATAGCCTACCCTCAGGAGGAGAAAAACCACCCAAGAATGAAACTGGCTTGTTGTCTTCAATTAAAAAGTTCATTAAAGGAAGCACACCCAAGGTAATGGTTTTGTCCTGAAACTGTGTATCATTCAAAATGAAGTTTAGGTTTTCTGCGAGGATGCATAGATAATAAATTGCTATTGCTAGAATCTCTTTTTAAAGGAGATGTCTACATTTTGGTGTTACTTTACTTTGAAAAATATTACTTGAATATTCAAAATATTTAATGGTAGTTCAAGAATAACAATTATTCCACTGGACTAATCCATTTAGCCTTGTGTGTTTTCAGTATAGTGTTAACGGGGAACAAAATAAACTTTTCCGTTCTTTTACTTTATTTCATTATTCATTTCAAACAGCAGTTAATTATGTTTAATTATGGAGGTGATTTCTTTTGTCTATCTGAATTGTAACATTTGTACACTGAAAATATATTACATCATCAAAGAAGAAACAAAATTATTAAAAGAAATTGGAAACTGAACAAAAATCTTGTGCTTTAGAATTATGCCGTGGAGCAACTTGAGTGACCTTCATTTACCCCCAAGAGCCTCAGGAAGATAGCAAAATGGGACTAATGTACCAGTTGCTTGTCTGTATAAGAATTATTTTCAGATTAGATGATATAACAAGAAGAACAGTTTGAGAAACTTGAATGCACTCTGTAAATGTATTGTTATTATTCATTGTATGTACATTTAATTATGATGTATGTTTTTATTCTTTCTGGGGAAAATCATTTATATGATAAATTCCTCATTATAGTCTTAAGTGTATCATTTTGATAAGTAGAAAAAAGTCAGTGTTGATTTATTCCTAATGATGGATTCTATTTTAAAAGAATTAATTAAATCTAATTATTGTGAACTGTTGGCCAAAATTAAGAAATGTTCTGTGTTTGTGTAGGACTTTTTATATTTTATTTAATACTATAATTTCTTTTGTTAATTAATGAAAAATTTTGAGGGATAGAGAGAGAGAGACACGTGGATAGAGAAAGAGTGAGAGAGAGAGTAAGCAAGCAAGAGCTAGCTCCCATCTGCTGGTTCACTCTCCAGATGCCCACAAGTGGGAGCCAGGTTTCTGATACGGGTGGCAGGAATCCAGTCACTTAACCATCACCATTGCCTCCCAGAATCTGAACTAGCAGGAAGTTGGAGTAAGGAACTGGAGTTGGGAATTGAATCAGGTACTCAAATATGGGCTGTAGGTGTCTTTCTGTTTTTCTTTATAATTTTTATAAAAAGTTTACTTATTTTGTATTTATTTGAAAAAGAGAAACAGGGACAGAGACAAACAGATCTTCTGCCCTCTGGTTCGCTACCCAAATGCCCATAATTGAGCTGAGACAGACCTAAAAGGGGAGCTAGAAACTCAGTCTAGGTCTGCTAAGTAGGTGGTGGGGACCTAACTGCTGCTTCCCTGGGTGTGCATTTGTGGGAAGCCAGAATTGGAAGTGGAGCAGTACGCAACCCAGGTACTTTTTTTTTTTTTCCTTTTTAAAAACTATTAAAATACATCTTAGGATGTTATTCTTTATACTTTTTAAAGATTTATATATTTATTTGAAAGGCAGAGAGAGAGAGAGAGAAGTTTTCCATCCGCGGGTTCATTCCTCAGATTGCTGTAATGGCTGGAACTGTACCGATCTGGAGCTAGGAGCTTCCTCTGGGTCTCCCACGTTGGGGCAGGAGCCCATGGGCTTGGGACATCCTCTACTGCTTTCCCAGGACATAGCAGAGAGTTGGATTGGTAGTGGAGCACCCAGGATTCAAACTGGCGCCCACATGGGATGTCGGCACTGCAGGTAGCAGCCCCACTAGCCATGCCACAGTGCCAGTCAGAACCCAGGTACTCTATATGAGATGTGGGAACATGAAGCAGTGGACCTGGCTGTCAACTGATATCTTAGTAGCCAGACCAAATGCCCACTCTTCTTTTGTTAATTTTAAGTAAAGAATTTTTAAAAAGATTTATCTATTTATTATTTGAAAGGCAGAGTTACAGAGAGGGAGAGCCAAAGATCTTCCATTGGCTTGTTTACTCCCCAAATAGCCGCAACAGCTGGAGCTGGGCCAATCTGAAGCCAGGAGTCGGGTCTTCCATGTGGGTGTAGGGGCCCAAAGACTTGGGCCATTCTCCCATGCTTTTCCAGACGATTAGCAGGGAGCTGGATTGGAAGTGGAGCAGCCAGGACTCAAACCAGCGCCATAATGGGAAGAGAGGCAGAGAGAGAGAGAAAGGTCTTCTATCTGCCGGTTCATTCCCCAGTTGGCCATAACAGCTGGAGATAAGCTGATCCAAAGGCAGGGGCCAGGAGCTTTTTCTGGGTCTCCCATGTGGGTGAAGGGGCCTAAGGACTTGAGTCATCTTCTACTTTCTCAGGCCATAGCAGAGAGGTTGGTGGGAAGCAGAGTAGCTGGGTCCCGAACCAGCACCCATATGGGATGCTGGTACTGCAGGCAGAGGCTTTACCTGCTATGCCACAGCGCCGGCAGCTCTAATATTCTTATATAACAAAGATCAAATTCCTTCCATTAATATGAATTCTCAGCTTTGTATATTTCTGATGGGTTGTTAATCGGCTTCTTTTGGTGAGAAGCTTACTGTTTGTCAGCTCATTTTTCTGAATAGCCATATTGCTGTAAAGTGCTTCCTCCTAAATGTGTTATTTTACATGTGCAAGTGCAAATCTTTAGTCATGATTTAATCTATATACATATATTCTGTGAGTATATATCACCATCTTGGTCCCTTTTTTTGTTGTTGTTCATGAAAGATAATAACCAGAAATAAAAATAGGCTGTCCCTAGATCTTCATGTTTACTTCCTTTGACTTGGACTTTTTTCTGTTACTGTGGCTTTATATCATGTTACATTCTTTTTTCTCCTTCAGTAGTTAACTTCAACAAATTTTTGCTCATGTTTACTAAAACTCATTTTCTGTAGAATTTTTTGTCTTTTTTTTGAAGGGCAGAGTGTACAGTGAGAGAGAGAGAGAAAGGTCTTCCTTTTCCGTTGGTTCACTCCCCAATGGCTGCTGTGGCCGGCGCACCGCGCTTATCGGAAGCCAGGAGCCAGGTGCTTCTCCTGGTCTCCCATACGGGTGCAGGGCCCCTTGGGCCATCCTCCACTGCACTCCCGGGCCACAGCAGAGAGCTGGACTGGAATAAGAGCAGCTGGGACAGAATCCAGCACCCCAACTTGGACTAGAACCCAGTGTGCCAGCGCCGCAGGCAGAGGATTAGCCTATTGAGCCGCGGTGCCAGCTGAATTTTTTGTCATTTTTAACCAAAATCCAGGATTTTTCCTAGATTCCTGTTTACTGAACAGTGTTAAGTAGAAAAAAACCACAGGGGCTGTCACTATGGTGTAGCAGGTTAAAGCCATGGCCTGCAGCGTTGGCATCCTATATGGGGCTAGTTTGAATCCTAGATGTTCCACTTCTGATCTTTGTCCCTGCTAATGTGCCTGGAAAAGCAGCAGAAGATGGCCCAAGTCCTTGGCCCCCTTCACCCACGTTGGAGACCTGGAAGAAGCTCCTGGCTCCTAGCTGTGGCCTGGCCTAACCAGCAGATGAAAGATTGGTCTCTGTTTCTCCTACTCTCTAATTCTTTCTTTCAAATAAATGGAGAGGAAAAAAATAAAAGAAAAAGACCATAAAAAACTTGTTTGCAAACTAATGTTTTACTCATTCATTAATATTTTTGAGTAAGTGGCCGGTGCCACGGCTCACTTGGCTAATCCTCCATCTGCAACGCTGGCATCCCGGGTTCTAGTCCCAGTTGGGGCGCCGGATTCTGTCCCGGTTGCTCCTCTTCCAGTCCAGTTCTCTGCTGTGGCCTGGGAAGGCAGTGGTTGGGCCCTGCACTAGCATGGGAGACCAGGAGTAAGCACCTGGCTACTGGCTTCGGATCGGCGCAGCGCGCCAGCTGTAGCAGCCATTTAGGGGGTGAACCAACGGAAAAGGAAGACCTTTCTCTCTCTAACTCTGCCTGTCAAAAAAAAAAAATAAAATAAAAAAATATTTTTGAGTAAGGTTTTTCCTTCAGCTACAAATTTCTTTAATTTTATGCTATTCAATTTAGATTACTTTGTCATATTCTATAGATTATTGAAAATTGTATTTAAATGCCTTTCTGAATTCAACATATGCTTTTTTTGCCTAGTCTGTTGATTGTAAGTAAGTGGTTAGCTTTTCATGTGTTAGTTTTAATGAACTTAAACTAACTTCTGTTCAGTGTTGTTTTCTTATCTATGTTGTCATAAACCATCTTCCTGATAATACATCCTAAATTTGCGTTTAGTATGTATACAGTACTTAATTATGTATCTTAAATATAGTGTCATTGTCTTATTCAAAATTTGGTTGGGTGAGGATTTAACCTAGTGGTTAAGATGCCCACATCCCATACTGACTATGTGGCTCCTGTCTCCTGCTTCCCACCAGTAAGACCCTGGTAGACAGCAGTGATGGATCAAGTAATTGGATTTTTGCTACTCACATGGAAGACCTGTATTACATTCCCATCTCCAGTCTTCAGCCTTAACCAGGTCTCAGTTATTATAGGCATTTGGGAGGAACCAGTGGATGGGGACTCTGTCTCTCAAAAACAGAAACAAAAACACAAAACTTGGAACAGATGTTCACAGAAATTGCACTTGAATGCCTGTTAGGTGCTCAAATCCAGCATCTCTTTAAAACCATTTTTTGATATGTCATAGAAGAGAAAAACCAAGACTTAGTGAACATAGGGAAGACAGTATCAGTGATAACAACAATAACTTTCCCAGGTTAAAAAATAGCAATAAAAATAACAATAAACAGCAATACATGAACAGTTACTAAGTTACTGAGCAATAATTATGTACCAAACACTATTCTGTCTTAAGTGTAATATCTAATGTAAGCCTCACAATTTGTATGAGGTAGGTATTATCTCTATGTTGCAGACAAAGAAGGGTTAAGAAAGAGAGTAACTTGTACAAGATTACTTAGCTTTAAATGGGTAAGTTAGCCTGGTTTCAGAATCTTATTTATTTATTTATTTATTTATT